TATAATAAATATATATTTAAAATAATATCGATATAAAGCTCTATAAAAAATTTACAAAGTTCAATTTTGTAAAACTAAAATTTGAATTATGATGACAAGTATCATTTAATCTAATGCTAAACACAATTGATCGAAGAGTACTTTGCAGATTCAATTTTCACCACATCGAGAGCATTGGTTACAAGAGAGTGAAGAAACATATTTGTTTAAGTATTGATATTGATATATGATAATATAAATTTTTATGTAATTTGTAAATTTTAAAATTTGACAAACAAAAATTCTTGTCAATTTAATGAGCAATAATGTACTGTACATAAAAAATGTGATATCGTTAAATGTGATATCATTAAATATAAATAATATATAAAAATCGATACATGTGTTAATTTTCTAACTTTTAATATCTTCCAAAGATTTTTTCCAGGCATCTCTATTATTCAACCCATCCCACCATTTTTTAACATTAGATTTTTTATCCCACAAATCAGAATGATTGGCAATGTGAGCGAAATAAGTATTTGGATAATGGAAGAGTTCAGCTAAAGAAAATTTTCCATTTAAATATTCTTTTCCTTCCAAAAGCTTATCGTAAACATTTAAGACTCCTTCAGTTTTCTCACGGGCACGCTTAACTACTACGGGATCCGAAGTTTTACCCATATATTTCGCATATATTTCTTGAAATAAAATTTTTGAAACAGGTGAATCAAAGTAACTTGATTCATAAGAAATTAATTGTTCAACTAAACCAGCTTAATATCATGAGGAATTAAGATTGTATTGTTGTGTTTGCCTTGATATTTGGATGCTAGATAGCGACAAATTGCACGAGATTCAGTAATTTTAAAATTATCATCGTAAAGGACTGGTACTTTTCCACTATAATTAATGTTAACTAGTTAATAATTATGTGCTTCGCTATGTGAAAAAACGAAGTTGCAAATCAGAGGACTTTGAATAGACATATTTACAAAGGGTGTTTATTAGCGAGATAATCCTTATTTTTTAAACCAGCGTAACCACCGGCTTGTGGTGTTAATTTATAAGAAAGACCTAATTCATTAAGACATGTAATAACTCTGAGGGTGCAAATTGAGTCACCGAATCCGATGAGCCTGATGGCCATTTATTTCGTTTGTCTTAAAAAAAGGCAAGAAAAGCAACATAGACATTATTTGAAACGTTTGTGGTATTCCATTTATACATAAATGAGGTTAATGTTCTGTTATAGGACAGTATTACTATAAATATCCGTGAAACTCAAAATTAATTCATGGAAAATTTTACTACATTCGTACGTACGTACGTATTAACATATTTATAACAATATATTCAAGTTTGTGGCATTTATCTTTAAATCATGTACTTCATTTTCTAAAGATTATATACAGTATTTAATCGATGGATCTGCAAGTTGCAGCACATATCGATCTGTTTTGTGAAAAAAGAGAGGGTTTCACTTCTAAGTTAACATTTGTATCTTACAATATAATTAGTATTCTTTATTATAACAAAAAATTTTGTTATTTCATGTTTTTATACTATCTATATTTTTTCCTTTTACGCCAAAAACTTTTGAAGTATCCTACTTTAAAAATGGCGTTTTGAGACTATCGACGAAATTTGATTGGTTGGCACTCACGTTATTATCTACATAAGCTTAATGCTAACATTTAATATTCTCATCTATTTTATTGAATATAGATTGAGTTGTCATAAAGATCTAAACTGAATTCGCTTTCAAGGCACGTTCGAACCCAATCATTGCTTAGAGGTTTTTTTTTTAATATAGTCTCTTGATAGTACTGTATTTAAATTTCATTAGAGGATAATTTTCACTTAATTTTCATTTTCTAACTAGATATTATCTTAAGGATTAATTATAAAATATTGATCACAGTTTCAAGATAAAATATAATTTTGATTTTGATTATACGAATTGTTGAGGTCCGGAGCCTTAGTATTTGGATTTTAATTTTATAGCAAATTTATAATATATCATTTAAAGTAACAAGGCTACCACCAACAACAATAATAAAGATAATTCTAATATTTATATTTCAATATCTTTTTTCTCTTTAGGCACGTACATACATGAAGATATATAACAAATTGCTGAATTATTATAGCATGTCAACAATAAATAAAATACATCCACTTCAATAAATTCCTTTTATTGGCTGCTTCGCATCCAATAACTATATATTTCTTGACTTAATAATCTAAATACAAATTTAAAAATAAGCAATAAACTTGTTCAATATAAATAAATCAAATATATTACTTACCATCGGGTATTTCATAATCAATGAGTTGACTTGCTAAATACATATATATAAATATATTAAAATTACAGTTTAAATCCAATTTAAGAAAATAAATGTTATTACCTGCATTCACTTTATCGATAGATTCGGAAATTTTTACAATTGATATTACTAAAATTTTAAAATACTG